GACAAGATGGGTGGACTAACCTTGGTCACCCTGAGGTGGGCTTGACCTCTCTGGGGTCTCCTACAAGGAAATAGTCAACTACTATCCTTATCAGAAGGGAGTGGGTCCTACTTGTGGGATAAACAGTGGTGACTGCTTGCTCTAGCTGGCTGATAACCCTTAGAGAGAGTAACTCCTGACCTAATTCAGTTGACCTCCAAGTGTATAGTCATCTGCTACGTGTAGCTAGCAGCTAAGTTTGGCATATATTTGGGGGAGACAACTTGGGAGAAATCTGTTTCCCACATTGTCCTGTGTGATTCTTGCTTTCTTTTATATGAATACTTTTTAATAAAAAATCTTAAAATTCTTTAGAAATAATAGGAACTGCACCAAGCACTGTTTGAAGTACTTTGTGTGGGAATCAGTCATACTTTCTAGCCTTTTTATTGAATATCGCTGTATTATAGGTGAAGAAATTATTCATATAGCTTAGGAAATGAGGTATCAGTGGAGAGCCCTTTGTCTTTGAGATCACGTCTCTTACAATCTCACTGTGCTGCCTTCTCGCCGTTAGTTTTCAGACCAGAGCAGTGCTGCAGCCAAAAGGACTGTTTTGGTGAAGACTGTGGCCAGGTAGCTGCTGTGGAGTAGTTCTGCTCTGGCCCCGCTCTTACTGTGAGCCAGAGTTGACTCCGTGCCGACAAGTTAAGCTTTTTGGTGGTAGTTTTAAAGTGAAATGTGATCTTTATTGAGCCCCAAATAACCAGCCTGTTGGTACTTGATCTTTCAGTATTTAGACATTCATTATACATGTACACACATGCCTGCATGTATGTGTGTGTATGCGTGTGTTTATATGCCACAACAAAGGCTGCAGTTATTCAGTCTAAAAGAATTTTTGTTTGGTGGCCATAATCAAGTATTCAGACTGAAATTTCACTTTTCCATCCTCTAAAGTTCTGTTTATCCACCCGTGGTTTATTAACAATATAGATGGCTTCACTCTAAATGTTTCTAAAATAAGAGTCTTATGTACTCACTATGTTTGAATATTGTTTTGTCTGACAGGCTAGTTATTTCAGTATATATACAATAATGCAGATTATAATTCTTAAAATGAGGAAACAAGATAGTCTAGAACTAACTTCCTACATAAATACTTAGAAAATTGAACAATATAGAAGCAAATATTTTTAGACAGTGGGCAGCACAGGACAGGAGACTCCCGAAAAGAAAGGGGGAAATGGAAAGAAGCTGGGAGAGAGCCCTACCATTGCCCTGGATTTCTGCCTGGCCCTAATTTCTGTAATGCGGAAATGTATGTAATGCAGATGAGTATCGGTTTTGGAATGTGGCAGAGAAACAGTCAGAGTTACAGGTTGCTGAGGCAGCTAGAATGCTCAGAGTATAACATAATATTATTGATAGCACACACGAATAAAAATTTTACTTCAGATTATCCAACAATGGTTACAGCAACCTATTGACAGGGAACTGCTGGAAGTTCAGGCTGTATTCAGAAGACCTGGAACAAGGAATATCATTGTTGGCATCAGATGGATCTTGGCTCTAAGCAGAGAAAACCAGAAAGATGTTTACTTGTGTTTCATTGATTATGCAAAGGCGTTTGACTGTGTACCATAATAAACTAGATGACCATGAGAAGTATGGGAATTCTGGAACACTTCAATGTGCACATTCAGAACTTGTACATTGATCAAGAGGCAGCTGTGCAAACAGAACAAAGGAATACTGCATGGTTTAAAATCAGGAAAGGTGTGCCATACTTGTCCAATCTTTAGGCTGAGCAAACCATCAGAGAAGCTGGATTAAATGAAGAAGAATGAGGCTTAATTAACAATTTGTGGTATGCTGATAATACAGCCTCGCTTGCTGAAAGTGAGGAGGAATTGAAGCCCTTGCTGTTGAAGATCATGGATTGTAGCCTTCATTCAGTATGGATTACAGCTCAGTGTAAGGAAGACCAAAACCCTGATGACTGGACCAATCCAGTAGGTAACATTCATGACACATGGAGAAAAGGTTGAAGTTGTCTAAGGTTTTGACTTAATTGAATCCACAGTCAATGCTCATGGAAGCAGCAGCCAAAAGATCAAAGATGTGTTGCATTAGGTAAATCTGTTGCACAAGCCCTCTTTAGAGTATTGAAGAGCAAGGATGTTTCTTTGAGGACTGAGGTGCACCGTACGCATCATATGCATGTGAAATTTGAACATTGAATAAAGAAGATTGTGGAAGAATAGAAGCATTTGAATTACCGTGCTGGGTAAGAATATGGATCATATAATGAACACCTAAAAGGACAAACCAATCTATAGGAAGAAGTAAGACCAGAGTGCTCCTTAGAGGCAAGGATGGCAAGACTTCATCTTAAATACTTTGGACATGTTATCAGGAGAGACCAGTCCTGCAAGGAGGACATGATTAATGAACCTATAGGGACAGCAAGTAGAATCAGGGTTTCGGGGTCAGGTGGGGGATACAGTGCTACTGGGGCGGGCTGAGGGAGTACGTGTAAAAGGGAGATGATGTCAAGGAGTCCAAGAAGAAGAATATTTGGAAATTGATTGCGGTAGCAATTGTATAATTCTGCTTGATGTGATTGAACTATGGAATGATGATGATACATGTATTAACTCCCAACTAATATATTTTTTTAAAATACCGAAGAAAATTGGAGAAAAAAAATAAAAGCATCAAAAGACTGAATAATTTATGGGTCAAAGCCATAAGGTTGATTTCCTGCTCATTGCCCCCCCAACTTGACTATACAAAGCATGCCTTACCAACTAGAATTATAAGTCTACACTTTAGGCATTTAGGGATGACAGATCTTTGCTACTCGAGTACAAAACTCTCAAATGAATCAAATAGGCTGTGTGGGCGTTAGTCTGTCTCTGAACCTTCTACTCAGAATACTTAATCAACAAAACTGGCAATAAAATGATACACAAAGCTTCCATTCTCAAAAAAAGAAAAAAATATTATAGAACATCATATTTTCATGAACAATGAATGCACATTCAATGTGCAATCCAGCAAAATATGTCAAGATTAGTGCATCATGTCTAATGTTTCCCCCTCTTCCACCCCAGGCATGTAAAGTTGATCTAAAAAGAGTAATATAATCTGTAATCTAGTGCAATATATAATCTACAGTTAAAAGTAGGTAAACCATGTATGGTCATTGAGTTAGTTTATTGTGCCAACCTGGCCGATAAACACAGGTGGGATTAATTGAAGGGCGGAGGGATAAATGACTCGGTGAGCCTCACCTTTCTAGTTTTCGGGTCTCTTGCTTTCTAATGGTCACACCAGGGTGCAGCTGTCTTAGCAGTTCCCTGCTTCAGCTGGCAAGGCTGACTTCCTTCAAGACATCCCTGAGGAGATGCCCACGGACCTACCCCGATGCAGCCCTGGGTGCTGAAGCAGCCCTGTGGAGACCCCTGCCAGCGCTGAGATGCTTACACATTCACTGATTCGGCTTTCCTCCTGCAGTCGGCGTCATTGTGTGTGTTTTGTGAGATGGAGGAGGACTTTCTGGATTGGTGTTAGACATATGGGTTAATGATGGGTTTGTGGGCTTGGGCAGCACAGAGTTGGGGTGTTTTCTTGATGCTCACTTAACCTTTATATAAAATTCTCTCTTATACATGAGTTTCTGTGGATTTGTTTCCCTAAAGTACCCAAACTAATACAGTCATCTCCATAAATAAAGAAGTTTACATCATAATTAAAAAACAGAATAGTACAAAATAAGAATAGAAAATAACTTTTTAATTTGACAGTGCTGTTCAATATAACACCTGTCCCTAATAGCACTGTGGTGGTTTGCTGTTCTTCGGACCCCAGGAAGGAGTTTAGGGTACCACTCTGACGCACTGCTTCTTTACAGAATTCTCGCTGCGGAACCAACACTGAGTAGTGGTTTCACTTTCCACCTTTTCCCAGTAAAGCAGAAACCATCTTTGGATTTCTTTGTGTTAGCACAAACAGGTACAGGACTTTTGTAAAAGTAAAGTGGTGTGAAAGGTGACATTCAAAAAGCAGGAGATCCCTGTGCCCTCTCCCTTCTAATCAGATGGTTCAAGTTAATATTTAAAGTAGTTTCAGTATTTGTTAGCTTTCTTAAGCTTCTTATACAAGTTATGTCTGTAATCCACTTCGAACCACCGATTGGATCTCTGTGATTGTGGAACCTATTAAAATGCTTAAGATTATGATTTTGAAGAGCTTTAGTAGAATTCAACATTGGCTTTGTTACTTGGCTCCTAATGACTTTGGGAAAGATTCTTAATTTCTCTTTACACCAGATTTTTACTCATATGTAAGGACAGTAATAATCCTTACTGTGAAACCCATGGAGGTTATAAAATGAGATCATCTATATGTTGTACTTAGCAAAGTATATAACCCAGAATAAGCCTTCCATAGATAGTAGCTATTTTTATTATTATGTTCGCTAGTTTACATGGCAAATTGGTTCTCATTTAACTATTTCCACACAGATGATTTAATAATTTTGATTAAAATTGTCAGTGTGTCATCATTCTTCTTCATTCCTTTCTAGGGGTGCCATTTCTGGTACCCTAGTTTCCATGCCCCCTAGTTTTCTTTCAAAATCTCATGTCACTTGTGGTTCTCATCTCATAGAGATTTTTCAAGGGGTTCACTACTCACAGGTGCTGGTATCAACTGGCCCAGTAAGTCTGGATTTTTTAAAAATTTGACCTCTTTCCTCCTGTTATATCAGTTTCCACTTGTGACTCTACTCAGAACAGCTGGTAGTGATATGAATCATAGTTTTTAAAATGGTTATACTTTATCTTTTTAATATTGTTTCTTAAAAAATAAAATTATATATTAATATAACTGAGTATTTCAGTAATTGGTGGTTGAATTAATTACTTTTCTTCTGTTTTTGACTAGGAGCTGTAGACTGTCAGTCTTAGGAAATTTTGTACAGACTATTTTTTGTGCTATCAATATTCTTTCAGAAGCGGTTTTGACCGGGCCTACCTCACCCGTGCCCACTCCCGGGAACGGGAATGAAACTGCGCTTGGACCAGTTGCACAGCCAAAGAAAATTCGAGGAATCGGATTTGGAGATATCTTTAAAGAAGGCTCTGTGAGACTTAGGACAAGAACATCTAGTAATGAAGTAGAAGTCAAAAAAATAGAAAAGGTATTCAATGTGAATTTGACTTTGATTACCTCATTTCATTCCTTTCTTAACCGTTTTTCAAAACTTAAAATAGTTTGCAATTCTGTTATTTCCTTTTTTTGGAGCTGGTTTATTTGTTTATAAAAGAGAACACTGTATGAAATGATTTTTTCGAATGTGAGTACAAGGGTTTTCAAAAAGTTCATAAAGAAAAATGGAATTAAAAGGTAATGGATTTTTTCCCCCGCAAACTTTTTGAAACACTTTTTGAATCTTATAAAAATTAGAATGATTATTTCCTGGAACTTTTACAAACTATTCTTTATGGAAACTGCAGACTTTTTGGTATCACGTGATAAATATAAAATGCAAAGTTTTTTTCTTTCTCTCTTTAAAGATCAAATCGTATGTGTTTAATTTTAAGACCTAAAATGTGTCTCTTAAAAATGGTTTAACCAAAAAACAAAACAAAGGTTTCACAAGGAGGTGTTGAGTAGGCATTACTTAATTTTGGTCCAGATTGTCATGAATGGTTAAATTAACAAATTTCCTGGAATTTTTGTAGAATTTTCATTTTCTTTAGCATTTCACTTGCATTGTGATATAGTAATAAGTGAATGTACTATATAGGTTTAAGTTCTAGTGAGATATATCAAATAAAACCCAAAGTTTTTATTTTGGGAGACAAAGATAACTATAACCCTTAAAGTAACTGTTTTAGTGTGGCTGTTCTACTAGCAGCACCATGGAGATTCAGGCAGGCTTCCCTAAACTTTTAGGTAATTGCTTGACCTGGAGTTCTTATTTATATCTTTTTTTGTTTAAACTCTTAAGCATTAAAAGTATTTCAGTATTTACTTGCTACGTAGTTAACATTATAGTTAAGACTGTTTTGGTTGGTGAAATATGCAGTTTTCTCCTCAGGTCGTTTTCAGCATTTTCTTTTTTACCAGTAGCTTTCTACATGTTGTTATTGTCAATAGGGCTCAGGAAAAATAATTACTTTCTTCCCTATCGTCTCTTATCTCTGAGAACATTTGACCTTGAGATTTGGGGACCTAACTAATTCTTGATTTAAAAGGATTCAGCTAACAATTAGAATCTCCTGGGATTTGGAATTCTCTTCTGTACAGACATACACATATAACCAGGAGGAATATTGGAAAAGCAGTTCCTGCATCAGGAAGAACATTGCATTAGTCCATCTAGAATGGACATCACCAACTATAAAAGTTAAGATTACATGAAGAACTCTTTGATTAAAGGTCATATTAATAACCTCTCAATCACTTTGAACAATGTTCTCTATCAGAGTTGTTTCAGGGTCGCCATTTTTGTTGGCGTGTGTGGCTTGCTTTGATAACTGATCTAGGAATTTATTAAAGGAGGGAGCATATTTGCTGTATTTGAAGATGTCATCACATTGGAAGAAGTACTAGTTAGAATTTGGGGAGAAATTTAAGTGAGTGTCTTGGAAGACTGACAAAAAACAATGATAGTAAGTTAACAGTGTGTGCAGATTTTTAAACAGTGAAATCTAAGGTCAAATGGTATTTCTGGAGAGAGTACTCAAAGAAACAACAGTATAAGACTTATTGTGGTCAATTATAATGAAAATATTTCTACCAGTGTGTATTTTTTGTTTTGTTTTTAAAATCATTTTATTGGGGGCTCATACAACTCGTATCACAATGCATACTTACATCCATTTTACATTTGTTGCCATCATCATTCTCAAAGCATTTGCTTTCTAATTGAGCCCTTGGTATCAGTTCCTCATTTTCCCCCCCTCCCTCCCCACCCCCCTCCCTTACAAACCCTTGATCATTTATAAATTATTATTATTTTGTCATGTCTTACTCTGTCTGTCGTCTCCCTTCACCCACTTTTCTGTTGTCTCCCCCAGGGAGGGGGTTATATGTAGATCCTTGTAATCGTTTCCCCCTTTCTACCCAATCTTATCACCACTCTCACCACTGGTCCTGAAGGGATCATCCGCCCTGGATTCCCCGTGTTTCCACTTCCTATCTGTACCAGTGTACATCCTCTGGTCTAGCCAGATTTGTAATGGAGAATTGGGATTATGATAGTTGGGGGGGGGAAAGCATTTAAGAACTAGAGGAAAGTTGTATGTTTTATAAGTGTGTATTTCTAAGGTTGTAACATTATCTAAATGTTTTATTCAGATAGCAATAATGAAGTATAAGGACGTTTTTCTTCTTTCTAAATCTTTGTCTTTGTGGAACTTTAATTCCTTGTTGGAGGGTAAACTTTATAGAGCCAATGGTTCTAGGTTCGAATTAGGTACCATTTCCAAAGTATTTTTCACATCTAGAAAATGGTAAATAATAGTGCCTCTTTCGTGCAGAGTTTTGAGGATTAAGTTATAATTTGTTCTGAAAAGCTATTGTTACTTACTTTCGAGGTTCTGAAAATAAATGATATGCTGTACAATGAACATGAGAGCATGTGCACTTTAAAATAGGGAGTTCTTAGTTTTAAGGATCTTCGGAGATCTTTTCTAACATTTTAGTCATATTATTAACACCAATTTAAGACCACTCAGGGAAATGTAAATAATTAAGAAACTTTGATTGACAATGTTATCTTTATTCAAAATTAAAGTAGGTGATACTGTCTTTTTTTGTTTCAGCCTTCACAGGTACAACTAGTGGGGTCCAAAACTCAAATTGCAGAGGTAACAAAAACAGAAACCGATGGTAAAATTAAAGGTAAGATATTGTATAAAGTCTTGTTGAAAATAATATTCTCAAATTTACTGTGACTCTTATTGAAGGCAGTTGTTATAGTATATCAGAATAATTAAACCCAATTAGATGTAAGCACCATGAAAGCAAGGATTTTACTTTTCCTAGTTCACTGGGTTAGCCCCTGTAATTGACTAATTTTCATACTTAAAATTTTTAAATACTTTCTAAGCCTCAGAAATACAAAGGAGCAGTTTAATTCTTCCCTATGGGTTGCAAAAAGTCAGAATGAACTTGATGACAGTGGGGTTTTTTTGGCTTGTTTATTTTGTTTAGTTCACATAGATTGACAAAAGAATTTGCATTTGTTGAATGAAACAATTTGTATAAGTTACATTTTTTGCATTCTTTATTTCAGCCAAGGAATATTGTAGAACATTATTTCCTTATGAAGGTACTAATGAAGATGAACTTAGTTTTAAGGAGGGGGAAATAATTCATTTGATAAGTAAGGTAAGATAAAAGTAGTTCTTTTTTTAATGTTTCATTTAATTTTATTCATAGAAATAGTTGTGAAAATTCTATATGCCCATAAAATGTAAATTTTGCAGAGCTGGGATTTTGTCTTGCTGGTATGTCCTGAGAACTTGGCACTTAGTGTGTGATACAAAATTCCTTTTTGAATCTGTTTTTGGTCTTTGTTGTTATTCATCTATTGGGAATTATTGGTACCACAGCATTCTGTTTTTCTATTCTAATTCCCACGCTACGTTTCTGTTCTCAGTTCCTATTCCAGCTTACTCTATTTTTCTCTCTTATTTTATTAAAGGAAAAAAGTAAAGTAGGGAACGCAATAGTTCTTAAATCATGGCGCTCGACAGAACTCAGAGACAATACTATTAAGGGAGTTTATCAGGGAAGGTAACAGGTTACCACAAGGCAGAACTAGTCAAGATAACAGTCTTTGGTTCACATATACCTCTTCTCTCCTCAGCCAGCAGCCAAGTGTCTCTCAGATTCTTGGTCCCTTGGCGTCTGCTCCTGTGGTCCAGGAAGCCAGCCCCCCTCTCTGCCTCTCGTCTCGTAGTCTCTCTCAGTGCTGCTCCTCTGTTCTTTCTCAGAGCCTCCTTGCCTCTGGTTTTGGCCTCTGCCAAACTTCAGTCTGAGATCTTGAATGTTTTCCCACTGGAGGCTTTTCTTACATGATGGTCCTGGGAATTCTTACAGCCAGGGGAGTGACACCTAAAACTGACCAATCCCCCTGATTTGTGTTACAGTAGCCCTGTTTGCATAGTCCCACCCAATCATTTGGTGGGAGTTACAGAGACTTCGAAATTAAGAAATTTCACTTTACTACAGCTATGAAATTCTTTATACTTTGGAAAATAATGTGGCTATTTCAGAGAGGGATTCATTAACTACTAGTAATATAAGAAAATAATAATATATGTATTTCTGTTTTGCTTATGGACTTGAATAATTTTAAGAATCTTTTTTTCTATTTGTCACCAGATTGTTTAGGGTAGTGTTTGCCAAAGTGGGCACTACCACCTCCTGAGGGCACTGGTATGATCCAGGGGCCTGCAAAAGCCGATACCTTGAGTTATGGATAAAGTGTTTAATTGCCAGGGGAGTGCTAAGTAATTTCTCACGAAAAGGGAAGTGGTAGGCCAAAAAGTTTAGGAACCACTGGCTTAGGGTATATAATTTTTAAATATTTAATTTGGACTGCTGACACCTAATTTTCATGCAATGATGGGTTTTGGGAATGAGCATTAGATGATCTTGTTCATTTCTTCTTTTTTAAAAATCATTTTATTGGGGCTCTTACAGCTCTTCTCATAATGCATACATCCATCCATTGTGTCAAGCAGGTTTGCACATGTTGCCATCATCATTTTCAAAGATCTTGTTTATTTCTCAATCAACTGAAAAAAATGTTTTTTAAGTGACTGCAATGTTAAGAGTGCTAGTTAAGTACAGTTTAGAAACGCCTTCCTGCTTGCTTGCCCTCCTGCCTTTCTCTACTTGTTTTCTCCCTTCTGTTTCCACTTGTACCTTTTCTGTCCCGTCCTCTCTCCTCTTTCCCATCCTTGAGACCTAAACTTTGTAGGCTATGTTAACAACAACGAAAGAAAGTTGCCGGAACTAATATGTGGGAGAAGGTTCTCTTAGAAGGACCTCATTATGTGTTTTTGTTTCTAATAATGGAATTCTTTTGCTCTTTTGTTGTAAACCTCTTCTTTACTTAAAGTTAATTCCCGACATCTTAATTACTTTTTGTTTTGTTTTGTTCTTTCAGGAGACTGGAGAAGCTGGCTGGTGGAAGGGTGAGCTAAATGGTAAAGAAGGAGTATTTCCAGACAATTTTGCTGTTCAGATAAATGAACAAGATGAGGACCTTCCTGTAAGTGTTTGTCAATTATGACATGACTTTTAAGAACCTTCTGAGCAACATTTTTAAAAAAAAGTTTATTTTTTATTTTTTAAAGTCATTTTATTGGGGGCTCATACAACTCATCACAATCCATACATACATCAATTGTATAAAGCACATTTGTACATTTGTTACCCTCATTATTCTTTTTAAAAAAAATTATTTTATTGAGGGCTCGTACAATTCTTATCACAGTCCATACATACATGCATCCATTGAGACAAGCACATATGTACACCTGTTGCCATCATCAGTCTCAAAATATTTGCCCTCTACTTTAGCCTTCAATATCATTTGTTCATTTCCCCCCTCCCTCCCCCCTCCCTCCTGAACCCTTCATAATTCATAAATTATTATAGTTTTGTCATAAGTTACACTGTCTGATGTCTCCCTCCGCCCTCTTCTCTGCTGTCCATCCCCCAGGGAGGAGGCTGTACTTAGATTCTTGTAATTGGTTCCCCCCTTCTACCCCACATTCCCTTCACCCTCCAGGCCTCGCCCCTCTCACCGCTGGTCCTGAAGGAGTCATCTATCCTGGATTCCCTGTGTTTCAAGTTGCTATCTGTACCAATATATATCCTCGGGTCTAGCCAGATTTGCAAGGCAAAATTGGGATCATGATATTGGGGGGGAGGAAGCATTTAAGAATTAGAGGAAAGTTATATGTTTCATCGTTGCTACCCTACACCCTGATTAGTTTGTCTACTCCCCAAAGCCCCTCAGCAGGGGGGTGTTCCATTGCTAACCGATGGACTCTGAGTCTCCACTCTGCACTCACCCACCTTTACAATGACATGATTTCTTGTTCCTTGATGCCTGACACCACATCCCTTCGACAGCTTGTGGTCACATATGCTGGTGTGCTTCTTCCATCTGGGCTTTGTTGCTTCTGAGCTAGTTGGCCGCTTGTTTATCTTCCAGCCTTTAAGACCCCATACGCTATATCTTTTGATAGCTGGGCACCGTTAGCTCTTTTCACATTTGCTTATGCACATGTTTGTCTTCAGTGATTGTGACAGTAGAGCAGGCACCCACTGATATGATTTTAAGTTCTTTGATGTCTGATAACTGATCCCTTCTACACCTTGTGGTCAGACAGGCTAGTGTGCTTATTCCATATGGGTTTTGATGCTTCTCGGCTAGATGGCCGCTTGTATGTCTTCAAGCCTTTAAGTCCTCAGACGCTGTATCTTATGGTAGTTGGGCACCATCAGCTTTCTTCACCACCACCTTTGCTTATGTTCACATTTTTCTTCAGTAATCGATTCGGGAAAGTGTGCATCCTGGAATGCCAATTTAAAAACAATGTGTTCTTGCAATGAGTAAGTGCTTGAGTGGAGGCCCAATGTCCTGCTGCCTTAATACTAAACCTCTAAATATATGCACATTTTTTAAAGAAATACAAAATGTATGCATGAGGTGATTGTTTACAGAGCAGATCATTTTCCATTCAAACATTCATACCAACAACAACAAAAAAAGAAGAATTTATACACATTTTATTTCTGTCTCCCTTCTTGTATCTCCACAGTGTAACATCAATTAGCCCACCTTCCTACCTGTTTCCTGTTGCCATTTCTCTTCCTTTCCTAACCCTGTCCATGGGAAATTCTGCCCTTTGATCTCAAATCATCGATTTTCCTTAAGGTCTGTGTACCTCCGTAGTGTTATTGGTTTCTTTATAGCCCTATCTGTTTGATTGAAAATTGAGCCATGGGGATTATTTTTTTTTTTTTTTTTTTTTTAAGACCTGAAGGATGACTAAAGGTCTTGAGGATTCCAGTAAACCTGGTCCCTCTTATGACTGAATCTCCCCCCCGTTTTCCTCTCACTCTATCTAGGGCCTTTTGTGTTTCAGAGCAGTTAGTAGCACTGAGTTGCTATCTAGTTAATACTGGTCTCATTGTCATGGAGACTGATAAGTGAGTCGTCCATATGGCAGTTGGACTAATTCCATGTGTCTTTGATTCAACCCTCTTCTTTTCTGTGTGCTTTTGACGATTGCTCGCAAGCAGTTGAAGAACCCCATTTTATTCACTAATGGAGGATGTAGAACGTTTGTCTTTGTGGACTGTGTAAAGCCAAGTGAAGTTGGTGTCCACCGAGACTAGTCTTGAGTCCCCATGGGGTCAGAATGCACTGAAAATTAACTCATTAGCCTCCATAAGAAGGGTATATTATAAATTAATAACACGCTTATTTAAAAGAGAGATAAATAATTCCTAGTCATTTATCAATGATCTTTTGCCTTTCTACAGTCTGACACCCTCCACCCCCTTTTCCCTATTTAGTTTGTAAATAGAAAAAGACAGGTAGCAGACACATAAAACAAGAGAAGCTGCCGAACTGAGTTTAAGCCCATGCAAGACTCTCTAACTGTTGTCATTTTAGTTTAATTACTGGACTTTATAGAGACTTAGTTTCCCTCGGGGCTACTCCTTTGCTAAAATACATTCAGTATTGATTCAGCCTTCAGCCTACCTTACTTTTTATACATTCGTTAATATATTTTGCCTGCTTATATTGGATGTTTTTACTTTATTACTTATCAATTATTCTTAATTCATAAAAATCAACTTTACATACTTAGTGGATTTTAATAGGTTGGAAAATAGGCTTTTCCTATAACCACTTCAGGAGTTTTAAAGAATTAATAGTGAAAACTAGGCTTATTAATAACCTACTGTGTTTATATAGTAGTAGTAATATTTTAAACCAAGTTTCCGTTTCTTCCCTATTCCCAACCTTTAGTTGTGAAAAAGAAATAATATTGTGCTTAACAAAGCGAATCAAAAACATGTTGCTGCCAAGTCAATTCTGACTAACAGTGACCCTGTAGGAAAGTGTAGAAGTGCCCTGGGGAGCTGGAATCCTCACAGAAGCAGACTGCTATATGTTTCTCCCTGGGGCTAGTGGATTCGAACTGTTTACCTAGCGACTCAGTGCTGACCCACTGCACCAACAGGGTTCCTTCGAATGATGCACAAGAACTTGTCTGTCAGAGGAGACCAGGCAGAATATTCTTGCTAATCAATAAGATTTTTAGACTTACTCAACTCATGATAACTTTTGAAATGCAGATATTTGACTGACTTTTGATTAAGGAGGTATTTATTTTTATAGGGTGTTTTTTTTTCCAGTGACTTTTTGTGGAGATGTTAAGATGTTAGTATTTTGTAATGGGAAGAAATGAGGAGAAATTTATTCGACCTACTTTGGCTCCCTTTTCAGAGGAAAATACTACTCATTGCTCTTCCTGACAATTAGATTTGTACGATAGCCTTATAATGTAGGATAAAGTATAGGTATCTGCTTTTGCAGATCTCTCCGTTTGTTCCAATGGTTTTGCCCATTGGAGAAATTCTGTTTGAGGTTATTGATCAGAATTGATTTTTTAAAATAAATATTTAATATATAAACTGTTCATCTATTATTTTAACAGAAACCAAAGAAACCACCACCTCCTGTGAAAGGCCCAGGTATGTAAGAAGCATAGTGTTCAGGTTGCTCTTTTTCAAGGTTTCAAATATGGAAGTTAAGAAGTTGGACCTGATATAAACAATTGTTACCGACAGAGCCCTATATGATGTCCTATACTATTCCAGAAGTCTTTCAAAATATATGAAAATGAGAGTATGTACATAAATTAATATAACTGGTAAAAATATAAACGGTATTCAAATGCCTAATAATAAAGTTGGTCATAACATCAAAAATAAAAATTTTAACCTATTTTACTAAATTCATTATAATTACCTGACCATTTCTACTTTTTCAGATCCAATTTGTTTCTTAATGTTTCACATAAATACAAATTATTTATGTACTCTTCCTTGAGATAATGTATTAGAGGTAAACTAGAAAAAGTAGTTTTATTTTAACTGTTTAATAAATTATAGTATGTTTAGAAGTATCTTTCATAGTTAAAATTTTGTGATCTGGCTCGCTGATGTTGTTAAAATTTGCCCCAAAATTTGTGATTTTTTTTTTTTTACTAGTACAGTAATGCCATTTGATGTTGGTCCAACGTAGTCCACATTCATGCTCTTGAGTTTGTATTTGCTAATATAAGTACCAAGCTGGAAAGGAAAGCATGCGTTGTAACTGATTTTTATGAAGTTGCTGTTAAGAGGCGTTCTATAAAGTTGCAGTGTTCAATATGATAACCCTAGCCTCATAGGTCTTTTTAAATTGAGGAAAATTAAATAAAATTAATTTGGGGTGTGTGTGTCACGTAGACCACATTCAAGTGGTCAAATATTGTGAAGTACTAAATGAAGAACGTATTTGTCATAGAAAGTTGCACTGTGTATTGCTGCTGTAGTATTGACAAGAGTGTGGCCAAGAACGGAACTGAGATCAGTTTTCGCTCAGTGATACAGGGTTATCACGGCTGGCCCAGGGTTAGAGATACAACTCAGTGATATAAGGTTCTTTCTACTAAATTAAGTTGTCATCCGACGTTAGTTTTAATAAATGAAATCTATAATTTTAGTAGTTTTACAAAATTAAGTTGTATGTTTTCCTTTTAGCTCCAAAGCCTGAGCTGCTAGCTTCAGAGAAGAAGTATTTTGCTATAAAGTCTGATGAAAAGGGTGAGACTGTTTCTTCTACTCTCAAAAAAATAATTCTCTGTTTCATTATTAACATTTTAAAGAACATTTCATACTGAGTCAGTTAATACTGCTTTGTAACAGGTGTTGAGTATTTTCCTCTGCTGGGGGTTTTCTGGGAGTAGTTTATCAAAAGTGATAGGAAATTAAGATTTTACTAAAACTGATACCAATTTGCATTTATTAAAAAATTAAACAATTACATTGATGAGTTTAGTATATGATCATAGTTTAAAATAATGTACAAGAAAAGAAAGCACTAAACAATTGCTTTATTTATTTAATTTATTTAATATACTTAATTTATTTATGATGTCTCAGTTAAAATAATTTTTAGCAGTTTCCTTAGCCTTGGCAGTTCTGTGAGAATAAGCATTGGGCTTTTAACAGCAAGGTTGGTGGTTCAAATCCACCAGTGACTCAAAGGGAAAAGGATGAGGCTCTTTCTTCCTATATAGATTTACAGTCTCAGAAACAGTATATAAGGTTAGTATGAATTAGTGTTGACTTGACGGCAATGGATTTGGGTTTTGAGAGAGGTGCAGACTAAGTTCCTAGAAAATATCAAAGTAATTTATTATATACTTTTCTGATTACATATATCTATCATGGAAACTTGGAACATTATTCTAAGACACAAGAGTATGTTGAAAAGTTGACTCATACTGTTTATCTGGAGACTGTGTACCACTTTGCATTTATATAGAAAGATCTATCTGCAGGGGCTGTCTCCTTGATTAGGTTATTTCCATGAAAACCTTGAACACAATATTTGTGTTGTAGAATGCTCTGTTTGTACTGTCAGCCTGTAGTTTAGTCCCTCCCTTTCTATTGTTATTGTATCCTTTTAGTTAATTCATTGCTCTTACTTTTTTCTCTGATCTAACTACTTTATCTCTGCAATGTTACCAGGTTAATTTTTCAGATCAAAATCAACTCCAAAATTATATTTTTGCTGTCATCTTCCACCCTTTTCATGCATTAAATGCATACTGCATTCTGTTCAATGATTATGTCCAGCACTCTCAAAGAGTGTCATTCACATGTTTTACACTTAGCAAGGAATGCTTTCGTATTTTTATCACTTTAATTGGGTTATGATACAGAAATAATTCATACTTAAAATGTTTATTAATTTCAGTTTGGTCTCTTCTGATATACCTATTGTTAAGATACAAGTCTGGGATCATCTTATTACTTGCATATAAATTTGTCCTGCCTCAAAAACTCATCTTAAAGGACATGCATTACTAAAAGTGTTACTGACTTTTCTATCTACAGCATGGTAACTGTCTTTTCCCTTCTACCCATGGGTAGGGGTTTGTAAAAATTCAGTTACTGATTCTCTATAGGTGCTGAATCAGCCAGCCGATCTTACGAACAAAAGGGAAGTTGATACAAGGGAAGATGATACATTTTTTACTATGCTTAGTAGTAAAAATTCCAGCCATCGCATAATAGCAGTGACTGGGTGTACCCTACATGAAATGATTTTTTTTTTTTGAAATGATGATTTTTAAAAATTGAGCAACAGGCATTTTGGGACTGATCACGGACCATGAGAAATATTATCTTTGATGAATCCCGTAATGAGAATCCCATTTAGTGCCTGGAAAGTTTATAGGCATCAGGAAAAGGGAAGTGAAACAGAGATCAATGTTTGCACTGAAACATTTAGGAGACAGAAAGGCAAAGGATATTACAATTTGGGGACAAAGTGCCAGGTTGAAGGCAGCTGTAGAAATATACTCAGACCTAAGAAGCCTTGTCCTGAGGCTTTGTACTGATGTATGCATGCATAAAAAGAATTGTAGCTGGAAAAATAACTGCTGGAAATCATAAGTGAAACAAATTCTGGAACTTAGAAATAGTTCGTGTTCCCACAACCCAGTGAATCATGATGAAGAGGAATGTGAAATATTTTAAAGACCTAAACTGAACTTTAATAAATCTAAAGACGCAGTGTCTGAATTAAAGGCTCTGAGTGGCATTGCCCGCAGACTGGAGACTACAGAAGAAAAGATCAGTGAACTTGAAGACACAGCCTTAGGAGCTATGCATAACTGCCAGAAAAAACAGTGGGGACAAGGGGCCTGGTGACCTCCATCCAGCGATCATATCAGGCAGTCTTACTTAGATGTATTTGGAGTCACTGCAGGAGAAAAGAAATAGAAAAAGTATTTGAAGAAATTAAACTTCACAATTGGTGGAGATATAAGCGCATAGATCCAGTGAATCCTAAGCATAAGAAACCAAAAGGAAACATCCTGACTGCACATTGTCATAAATGTGGTGAAACCCAAAGCGAAACTCCTGAAGTGTGAAAATAACTGTCACTTGAGGAGCTATGTGCCCTGCCCAAACACATTTCAGAAACGAAGTCAAAATAACCTTCAGACAAAAGTCTGAGCGGACTCACAGTACAAAAATGTTCAAAGTCGCTCTTTAGTGAGAAGGGAAATAATACTAACTGGGCATTTGGATCTATATAAAGTGATGAGAAAAGCACCCCCCACCCCCAAAAAAAAGTAATATGTGAGTAAATGTAAAATAATTTTTCTCATTTTTAGACGCCAGGAATTTTCTCATTATCCTCATGTAACATCTAGCAAAAGTAATATTAAAATATGAATGCTGCCATTTATTTATTTAGTTGTTTGACTTCCAATTTGCTTCTGTTAAGATAATTTGTGGCCTAATTTTTCTGAGGGAATCTTTTAAAGCCACTTTTCAATTGAATGAAGTTTCCTTCAGTCAAATTAAAACCGGACAAAATTTCGCTAAAATTTACTTAACTGTATTCTTAGATACCATGAAATGCCACAGTGTGTGGAGAAAAAATGACCTAGTGATGGTAAAAGTCTTGACGTAGTCATATTGTGAACTTCAACAGGCAGAAACGTTCTTTTATTGCTGGTCTAGTGACATTTGGATATATGCATCGTTAGAATTAATTATTTCCTTTTAAATAAAAATGAATATGAATCAACATTGTATCCTTGCTTCCACAACTGTGAGGGTTTTTTTCAAACCTTGATTAGGGTCAATTTGAGGAACCTTAAACCATATATTAGGGAAATACAGTATTTTCTACATGTATACATGCTCAGACTGCTTACTTTCCCTGTTGGAGTTCCACAGAAGATGTACTTTGAAAAGTTGTATTGTTAGGTGAGAAAGCTACTGGAAACCATGAAACCAGACACTCTTTTACCCATAACTCTTCATGGCTCCCTCTAGTTTCATGGGATGTGTCCCCAAATTTTTAGAATGGAAGTTAATTCTAGATGTGCCAGCCTGTGGCAGTTTTCATTGCCTACTCCAGAGCTAACACCACCATGTGCATTTTGCTGAAGTTGCATAACAGTTTCCTGGCTCTTGGCCACAGTGGCCCAGTGGTTAGGCACTCATCTGAGAACCAAAAGATCAGCAGTTCAAACCCACCAACTGCTCTGTGTGAGAACGATGTGGAAACCTACTTAGGGGACATTTCTACTCTCACTCTTCTCTGTGAGTTAGAATTGACTGTGACATTGGATTCTTGTGTTCTTCTCTCAGACAGACTTAAACTGATGACTATTCTTTGCCCCATGAGAGTAATGAGTCTTTCTTCCACTTACATTTCAGTTGCTCACTGTCTTGTTTTGTGTCCTAATCTTGGGGTATGTATGATAGAAGGAACTATCATTCTCAAATGCCAGGTAGTGAGGCATGTATGTACAGGTATAGGAGAGAACAAAAGAAAAAGGTTAAACTGTATAAGTGAGCCATCAGAAGTCAGATGGTAACTTTTATCTACTCGTCTTTCTCTGTCCTCTCCTGTTCCCGCCAAATTACAGCCTCTTGGAGAGCATGAGGCGCTGCTACACTCAGTCTGCTTCCATGTTGTGGGGTGTGTTTTTTTGGTAGGGGCAAAGGAACTGTGCTCACTTTTGCTTGAGGAGAATTTCAGAGTTTCATTACAGCAGTGTGCGCGGTCTGCCTTCTTTTAGAATTGATTTATAGGCATAACATAGGCGGATGATATATTCCTCCAAGCATGGATTGGTAATCTGGGTTTCTCATTAGTAGACAAAGATATAATTGTGACATTTCTTCCTGAATTTTTACCCAAATTGCCTCTACCTCTCGCATAGACTTCAGGCCAGCATTGAAGAGCAGCAGGGTGCTGTTGCTGAGATGGTGTGTACACCTGCTAAGAGTTCAGTGAGGGCACAGGAGACTGCTCACGAGCTGGTTCTGGGGCTTGTCATGCCAGCGATTGAACTGTGGCTTACTCCGTCATCTTAAAAGGTGTGAGGCCTTATTGGCTGCATACAGGTGACCTCTTGCAGAAGGTGTTTGTGGTATTTCTGTTCCCTCTCCCTTCAAGGGGTCCAAGTGGCAGCATTAAGTTATTCGCTCACTGAGAAGATGTTTAACGAAGGCGACACCTCGTTGGAACGGTCCTATCTTTAGTGTCTTAGTCGCAGGCCGTCTGGGCATTCAAACAACAGGGCTCATGACGTCCTCCACCGCCCGAGTGCTCTAATAGCCTGAGAGCGTTGGGGTAGATGTAGCCCCAGTTCCTGTTTCTTTTGCATTGTGCAATTCCTGCCTGAAATATATTTTTTAAAATACAGTGAACCCTCGCCACTTCGCGCTTCGACTTCCGCGGCTTCACTCTATCGCGGGTTTTGCGTAACAGCGCATGCTCTGTCATTACTGCC